ATTTACCATTGCATTTCTTGACTTGGGGAGTTTTCCCTTTAAGAGGCAGTTGCATCATGGTTAAAGGTTCTTGAGCCAGACAACCTTGATTTAAATCCTTGCTTACCCATTTCTTAGCTGTGTGTTCTTAGGCAAGTTATTTCTTTGAGCCTCATTTACTCTATCAGCAAATGGGGATAATACTACCACCTACACCTAACCCTAAAGATGCTATGAGGGTTGACTGAGTTTATCCGTGTAAGGTGCTTGGATCAGAATCGGATTTGAACCCAGTGAAGTTAGCAATTATTTCTATTTATGAACAAATGAGTCAAGTGCCAATATTAACAGGGCCTACCTGTTTTAACATAAATAGTTATGAATGTCATAAATAGTCATAAATCCTGAATGCCATAGAAGAGCTAAAGACACAGATGCTTTGTCTGAGGTGCTCACGACCTCACTGGCAAGATGGATGTGGTGGAGAGCCAGCTAGTGTAGTAGGCAGGTCAGTGAGAGGTGGGACAGGATGGATGGCATAGAAGTGCCAGAGGGATTTAAAGACCATAATCATGGTAGTATGCAGATGTTTTCAGTTCATACAGTGAGGCAGCTGGAGAGGTAATGAACAGAAATTTCCAGTCCCCTGTTAGGGCAAAGAGAAGATGACAGGGATTGGCCTAAAGTTAAACTGAATGAGTTGATTGAGAATCGAGAGTACGATTCTGATGTTTGGCCTTCACTTTGCTCCAGAAGTTGTTGTTTCTGAACATACCAGGTTCTAGTAGGTCCATGGCTTCAGGAGCTGGGGATTGGGGAAAGATATTCATACAGCAAAAACGCAGCTGATGAGGTCAGTGATTCACAAGCACTAGAAATGTAAGTTCTCAGACTACCCTAGACCTGAAATTTAAGGGTGGGGCTCAGTAATCTGTATTTTAGTAAGACCTCCAGATGATTCAGCTGTTACAGTTTAAGCCAGTGGCCTAGAGTATATGAAGGAAGAACATGAGATAACAATTGATGGTATTAGCTGAAACCGTGTCATGCACTGTGCTATGTGCTTTACCTACATTATGTCATTCAATCCTTGTAACATCTCTGTGGGTAGGTACTGTTTTTGTTCCTATTTTCAGATAAAGAAATGGAAACATTTATGTGCATTTACTTATCCAGGGTCATATCTAGTATTAATAAATAGCAGAGCTGGAAGAGCCTGGCACTTAGTCACTATGAAATAGCATTTCATTGCTTACAGGTAGAAAGGAAACCATCAGGAAACCTAATGAACTAAATTGCTGGGGTACCTAGGTGTGGGCGGGTTTTCATATTTTGAGTTGCAGTCAAGGGAATCTTCCAGCCATTCAGGGATCTCCATGCATGTTGGCCATCCATGTTCATTTGTTTCATAGAAAGTAACTACAAGTACCAGGATATTGACCTTCAGAAAAAGAAACAGAGTTTTAGTGTTCCAAGTTTTTCTTCCAAGGAAGAAAATCAGTCTTCTGGGATCTAAACTCCTATGTATATTTTGTGCTGGAAGCCTTTATTTATTTCTTGTTGCAGTACCAAATGTTCTTGAGATTTGGATTGCAGATAATGACATACTGACTTTGTGAAGGTGAAGCCAGGTTCCTTCCATTCCCTGAGTTTCCGTAATTGAAGGTTAGCTAGTCCTGCTGAGAACTCGCTGGCCACATTCCTCAGGCACTGCATTCTCTGAGTTCTACCTCCCGAGTGTTTCCTGGTGCCACATCGTCCCCTCCTTTCTCACTGCTTCTGTCCCATGTCTTTAGTCTTTGCATCCTGCCCTGGGCCTCCCCTTCTCCAGTGTGGCCTGGACTGCATTGTGTCTCTGCCACCTCAGTCTGATTATAGCTGTCTTGCCAAGCAGCTCCTCACAGCACTGCTGTGCTTAGCCCATTACATGGATGGTCTGCATCAATCTTCACTACGACCCCATGTAGCACAGGTGCCACTATTATCCTCCTGTCATAGATGAGTTAAAGGGAGTTAAGTGGCTTATCCAGCTCCGCTTCTCATCACCCTGCTGATCGACTTTCTCTTTGTTGCCTGAGTGAATGATTATTGGCAGCTGTATTGGTTTTTTACGGCTACTGTCACAAAGTACCACAAACCGGGTGTTTTAGAATAGTAGAAATTTAACGTTTCACAGTTTTAAAGGAAAGAAGTCTGAAAGTGAGGTTTTTGCAGGGCACTCTGAAACCTGCAGGGAAAGGATCTTTCCGTTGCTGGCAGTATTTGGTATTTTTGGTCTACAAATGCATCACTCCAGTCCTCTGTCCTCACATGGCTGTGGGTGCCTCATCTGTCTCTGTGTCCAGATTTTCTCCTTTTCTAAGGGCACCAGTCATGGTGGCCTTATAAAAATACTAGGGCCCAGCCAATGTCCTCATTTAACTTGATTACTCATATAAAGAACCTGTTTCCATATAAAGTTCCATTCTGAGGTGCTGGGGGTAGGATTTCCACATCTCTCTTTTTGGGGAGGGGACACAATTCAACCCCTAGAAGTATTTCTGTTCTATAAATAGTGACAACCTGAATTCCTCAGATAGTTCATTTTTGCTTTATAGAAGTTTTTAAACCATAGAAAGGAAGTAGGAATGAGTTTTGCTTGAGGGGACGCAATGATGGGGAAGAAGCAGTGGGAGACAGGGAAGGTCTTTCCTTTGTCAGACTGTGATTCTGTGGCTGCTCAGTGGATGGCTGACTCCTTAGTGGAGGGACCGTAGCAAGCTGCCCCTTCTTGTGTTTTGCTTTGAAGGAGACAGATCCTCCCATCTCTGGGGTCCTGTGGCCCTCACCCTGCCCCCTGAGGGGTAGATGTTCGTTTCCCACTTGTTAGGTACAAAGGGTTCAGAGGATATGTGGGGGGGAGGGGGACGGGGCGGGCAGGGAGTAAAAAAGATATAGTGAGGGGAGAAGGAAAGGAAAAGAAGTGGGCCAGAGTAACAGTATCTGAGGAGTCATTTCCCAGAGGAAAATGACAACTGAGGCATGACACCTAAGGAATTAAAAGCCACAACAAATATTAGTAACCCTCTGCCCTTGGAGCACTTGCCTGCCTGCCCCAGTGGCATCTCACTGAGCTATTTGAGAATGTTTAATTACTCTGAGCAAGAGCGGCCCAATTGAATAAGTCAGAGTTAACAGGAGAAATGACCTTAGAATTAGCTGCTCATCTTCTGAGTTACTCTCAAGTGAGAGGTTGGGGGGAGGGTAGCTTAGTGCCTTGGAAAAGTTCTGGGGCACAGCATTCGTGGGCAGGGGGGGTGCAGAGATAAGAGAGAGGGGAAACACAGTTGTCATTGTGAGTACTGGGACTATGTTTGGCAAGGGAAGGTATTTTAATAGTAAGTTGAGTCAGCTTTGAGGAAAAGAGTTTGCTTTCAGTCTCTGTGACTGTGACGTACTACTCACTCTCTGGTTTATGCTAGGGATCTGTAGATGGTGCCACTAGAAGGTTTTATAGCCAGAGGACTCAGCAGTGCCTGCTCTCCCATCTGTGGTAGATGGGCTGGGGACAGTGGCAATGAAAAGTCTATTGACTATTGTCATAATCTGGGTTTCATCTGACCCTCCAGTACAGAGCTTTCCAATTAAACAGGGCTGGGCATGTGGCTTAGCCCAACGGCTGGCGTCCCCACTGCTCAGATGGAGTAGCACACACCTTTGTGACCACTGTTCCTGCAGCATGCTAGGTGGGAGGGTGGGTGGGATGAGATTCCTTTCCTGTCTTTGTTAGGGCTCCCTGTCAGGAAAGGAGAGGTAAGTGAAAACAAGTAGGATGGGAGGGATGGGATTATGTTCAATCAGTAAAGCTAAGTTCACTTAGGGACTGAAAAACTGAACACAACAATGTGAAGTAAAGCCAAGGTGTCTTGGTGTAACATGCTGTAGGGCAGGCGGGGAGGTCCGAGTGACCACTAAGCAAAGTGAGAGTTGGCCTTGAGGGGTTGAAGTTAGAGCAGAGACAGTCCTTCAACGTGGTAGAGGCGGGTTTGGGAGATGTGCGCACTGGTCCTTCTAAGCCGCGTTCCAGCTTTTGCTGTAGTCCTTTCCTCAGGTTGGAAGTTTGAAACTGAGGGCAGGTGTGTGGAACCTGGGGCGGGGCTGGGGCAGTGTAACAACAGTGAGGTTTGGATAGAAGCTCGGAGAGGAGAGACTGCAGGAATGTGGTTTATTTAGCTTGGTGAAAGGAAGGCTGGCAGGGGTTCAGGGTGGGGACAGTGGGACAGTAATAGTTTTTCAGTATATGAGGGTCTGTGGTGAGAACTGTGGTGAACATATGTTTTCATTATTCAAAAAAAAAACAAGACTAAATAATGATTGGGTTTATCTTTTAGCTTAAGAGGATTTAAGTGAGAATTTGGGGAAACCATAGTAAAAATATGGGAACCTGGGAATATTTTAATAAAGGAATCTGTAGTGTTTACTTTTGGATAGTTTATGGGAAGTATAGCCGCATTCTGCAGCTGAATTCTAATCGGGGTGATTCTCTTTGATTTGACTTTGTTAAGCTGCAGTCTGGGACCTGTAGCTTCCTTTTCTCCCTTCCTCTTCTGCGTGACAACCTGATATGGCAAATGTACTAGAAGGAAACTGAGTTGGAGCCCTGGACTTTAGTTTTAGAGGATTGATACTTTTAGGAGGTGGTGAGCCTCATAGGGTAAGACCATGGGTTTTGGTGCCAAGCAGACCTGGTTTCAAATCCTGGCCATCACTTTGTGTTTGGGGGCAAGTTTCTTATCTCTCTGAATCTGCTTCCTCTTTGGTAAATGAGCATGACAGTATTACTTAGGTCGCAGGTTGCTGTGGGTATTCAGTGAAATGGGGTGTGGAATGGCACAGTGCCTGGCACATAAGTGGTGCTCCTTAAACATTAGCTATTAGTATTTATTCTTGACTTTCAGTCACCACTGGGAACTCAGATGCACTACATCAATCTTGATTTCAGCCTGTTTATGTGATAACCTGCCTTTCTTCCTTCATTACAGCTGCTGGCCTTCCTGCAAGGACTCTTTACTTTTTATCACCATGGTTACGAACTGGCCAAGGATTTCGGTGACTTCAAGACACAGTTGACCATTAGCATACAGAACGTGAGTGGGCGTGGGGGATCCTTCCTTTCTCTGGTTAAGGAAAGGAAAAACACAAAATAAGGGCCTGGTTGCCGTAGAAGCCACCTATGTGGATTGGAGTATAGGTGAGGAGGGTGGGTCTTTCTTGGGGTCACAGGGAAGCTGGGGGCAGGCATTTCTAGAGTGCTTGGTGGCCCTGGGTTAGACCATCCTCCTCCTCTCCATTATTTTGAAGTACTATTTATGTTCTCGGAAGTGCTACTGCTGATTATGTTTCAAATCTGTAGCAGCAGAGTCAGGATTTCCTTTGGCAGTGGAAAGCCCAGCCCAGCCTCCCTTCTGTGTATCTAGCTGCCAGGTCACAGGCTTTGGAGAATGTGTTCAGAGGGTGAGGGGAGGAGACACATGCTGGCGACTGGCTCAAAGGATATGCTCTTGTCCAACTCTTAGGAAGGCTAACAGGAAATCCAAGTTAGTGCAGTTCACTTCCAGGTTTCGTTTCCAAGTTTTAAACACAGGACCTTTTGGTGCACAGACTCCTGCTTAGGGCTTTTGCTTAGCAAGTAGTTTGGGGCTTAAGCCCCCTTCTTCATGGTGTGAAGGCCCATGTTAACTTTCAGATGTTCTTTGTCTCAAGGTGACCTTGTGTAGAAAATAAACCCTAGTATGTCTATGGGGTTTGTATTGCATGGCTTCTAGAAGCCTGGAGCTTGCATGGTTCCCTGCATTGTCTCAAAGAATAGGAAGTTGCAGAATCTGAAAAGATTTCACAAAGCATGGCACCCCTTAGGCTGAGCTCCTTCGAAAGCAAACTCTGAAGTGAAGATTTACATGCAGTTTTATTAGGGGCTGCAAAAACACCTCGGGGAGGGAGGTAGCTGATTCTCAGGAGAAGTTGGGCTTTGATACGGATTCAGCAGAGCTCTTAGGCCATGGGGGTTTCGGAGCTGGGCTCATCCTACAGCCCAGATCCAGCCCAGGTCCTGCATATAAGCAAAGGAGCCAGGCTTTTGACCCTTTCACTTTTTGCTTCTATCTTATCCTGGGAAAGGAGTGACCTTGAGTGAAGCAGCTCTCTTTTAAGGAGGGACTCGTCTGTGAGCCATCAGTAAACAGCGTTCCCTACAGCTAGAGAAAAAACCCACTGGACCACTCTGAATCAGAGGGCCTATTTAAAATGCTCATTTGGGGCATCCAGTGGTACTAAACTGGCCTTTAAGAGCGAGGCCTGGGCATTTGTATTTTCTCTAAGAGAGTTTTAGAGTCATTCCAGTACAGGACTTCCAGACCAAAGTTTATAAGTGAGTACGTGGCCAATTCCTAGAGAGTTGAATGGTCCTTACCTGGTTTAGATCTTAGGATTCTATTAGGATGAGATTTCATTTCTTTAATTTGACTAAAATTCCTTTATCTTAGACAAGAAATCGCTTTGAAGGTACCAGGTCAGAAGTGGAATCATTGATGAAAAAGATGAAGGAGAATCCCCTTGAGCACAAGACCATCAGTCCCTACACCATGGAAGGATACCTCTACGTTCAAGAGAAACGTAAGTGCTTTGGCTAACAACAGCTGGGGCTGTACTCAGGCCTTTTGCTCAGAAGGTGGTGTATATATCCAGTAGTGCCTGGGGATTGTAAGTACGTGCTTAGACGGATGAGAGTAATTTTATAGTTCACTTTCTCCAAAGGGAAAGATGATGTCCACAGACTCGTGTCTACCTGTGTGTCCTTTATGACTGGAAATTCCCTTGGGAACCTAGAATTCCCCAAGGCTTTGTGGTTGGTCTTCTCTCCCTAGTGTTACTCTGCTCTGAGGATCCTAAACCCCAGTGCAGCTTGATTTACTGTGCCCCCAGCCTAGAGGCCAGGGAAACCTCTTCCATGTTAGACTTTACTATCTGTCAACAGTCATTTCCTCTGGTAGAGTTAATATTTGGTGATTCAGTTATCAGTTGAGACTTGCTTCAGGAAGGCCCAATCATAACCAAGGCCCTTTCCCTTTTCTTCTCTACTGCTTTCATTACAGCACTTTAATTTTACTACAAGTAGAAACAAAAGCTCATTCCCAGAGTCAGGAAGAAGACCCATTGCCATGCCTAAGAAGTCAAAAAAAAGAAATGCCAGGACCTGCTAAGATGGAGTTCTTAGTAGGTCTCACAGATTCATGCTTTAGGCCTGGGCAAAGGCTTTGTGATGGGGCAGTGTTACTTAGGGTAGCACTTCTAGACTTAGTTCATGTACGCAGTGGTAGGAATGAAAGAAAGTGATTTTTTTTTGCTTTTAGGGTAGTTCTTCTTCTCGTCTCCCACTCTGCTTTCTTGGGAGGACACATTTCTCCTCCCCAGCTTGGCTAGTTTTATGTTCTATCACGTCTTCCCTTTGATTTAGTGTTAGGTAAATGTCTTCACTCTTAAAATCTTTCTGATAGGGTAGTATAGAACACTTGGTTTTAGTGATTATTCTATTTAGCAATTACTCAAAATTTGCTTGGGCTTAAACACTTCTCTAGTGACAATAGGGGCAATGGTGGGGTTGGAGGATTGGCTGTGGTCATAGTTTATGTCCCCTCTTCTGAAAGGAATGAGCTTATTGAAGTGTAAAAGAAATGTAAGCTACTTTACTTGGGTGTTTCATATATACTGGAATACACAGTGATCACCTCTTTCCCCAATGAGAAGATCCCCCAGAAAGGTTTTAGGTCAACTTGAAAATTCAGATTTTCAGGATTGAAAAATATAGTTTAGTGTCCACTTATTTATTCATATTATTTACTTATGTGTCTGAAATCACTATTGTCTTTTTGTACCTTCTCATTACATTGTACATGGTTTTTTTTTTTTTGCAGTTTTTGGCCTGAGCTGGGTTTGAACCCACCACCTACTCCTTTGAGGCACAGGCGCTGCCCCATAGTCCATGGTTTTAGTCAAATCTTCCTGTGCTCTTTTGACAGTAATGAGTTTATTATCATGAAAACCACTTTTTTGGTTCTGTAATTCAGTCTAAAGCATATTGCTGTAATACAGCTTTTTTTCTAATTTCAATTTTTTTGTAACTTAAAAATTTTAAACTTACAGAAAAGTTGCAAGAATGGTACAAAAAACGAGAATACAGCCTCCACCCAGATTCACCAATTTTTAACATTTAGCCTTAATTATGTCATTCTCTCTCCATATGGGGGCGTGCGTGTGCACATTACAGATAAACACACTTTATCTGGACCATTTGAGAATAGGTTGCACACACTGTGCTCCTTCAGTGCATATTTTGTAAGAACACAGATATTCTTTTATGTGACCACATCCAGGAAATTTAACATTGATACAACGTTCTAAACCACAGTCCATATTCCAGTTTTGCCAGTTGTCCTAGTAATGTCCTTGTAAAGCGTTTTGTTTTCCTCCAAAACACAATCTCACGTTACATTTCATTTTCATGACTTTTGTCTCCTTTAATCTGGAACAATTCCTCAGCCTTTGTTTTTCATGACGTTGACGTTTTTGAGCAATATAAGCCAGTTCCTTTATAAAATCGTCTTCAGTGTGGATTTGTCTGATGTTTCCTTGTGATTAGGTTTGGAGTATGCTTCCCTGGCCAAGTCCTACATAAGTAAGTAATGCTGTTTTCTTCACCAGGGTCACGCCTGGAGCACACAGTGTTCATTTACCCCTGGGTGGTGATGTTCATTTTGATCACCTAGTTGGATATTGTCTGGTTTCTCTACTTTATAATCACTATTTTCCCTCGTACCTGATTAGCAGTCTGTAGGGTACTGCTTTAAGATTATATACACATCCTTCTCCTTATCACACTTTCCCTCATAGATACATACAGTGTCCACGGACAATTCTTGCCAACCTGGTCTTTCCTGTGATGGTTGCACAGTGGTGATTTCTCAGCTCTGCTACTCCCTTCACGTTTAGTACCTGACATTCAGTGCACTGTCAGGAAGTGTCATCCCTGCTGCCCTTCCTCTCACCCTTCCTATCCATCCATCTGTCCATGCATCCGTCTTTCCTTTGTCAGTATGGATTTACAGATTTCTATGTTATTTAATAGGCTATACTCTGTTTCTGTCCTTGTTTATTTTAATGTTCAAGTGGTCCAAGACTTTGGCAATCTTTGTGTTGTTCTGTCACTGGAATTTTCCCCCCAAGTTATGAGAATCCATTAGGATGGTTGGTATTTTCATTTGTCCTTGATGCCCTCATGGAGACACTTCTGTATTGATTTTTAAGTTTACTGAATGACATGCAGCACATGTCATATCATACCATTAATAATTATCAAATGTCTGCTAATTAATTTTTTTTTTTAAGTTTTAAGCGTTTCTGCTATGTGATCTCTGTAAGCATCTAAACCTCGTCAGTATCGATTGAGGTTCTTGTGGGCTAGTACCCACAAGAACTCTAATAGTACTTTTTTTATTTAAAATAAAAAAAATTGGCAGTCACTGAGTAAAAATCAGAGCCTTCATTCGAGCTTGACTATGGTGTCACTCTCTTCCTTGAGGGTAATTTTGAGGAACATACTCCTTAGATCATATTTGGGCATTGATAGTCCCTTCCATTCTGCATCTCTCATGTCTCTGAGGTTTCCTTGCCTGCTGCTAAGACCTTGAGTTTCATGAGAGTGAAAATTAGGGTTTTTAAAGTAGGTCAGAGCCCCCTTGATGTCTGTGATGTCTGTGCACAGAGTCAAAGAGCAGCTGTGTGGGAAGCGTGATGTCATCACGCCAGACGGGTATGGGGACACGCACTTGGAGAAGCCTTTTCTGCTTCAATCCTCTTGCTCCTGTCAGGGAAGAGAATGGAAACTTCAAATGAAGACTAATGATGGGAACATGAATTTGTTCCCCCAGGGAGGCTCTACTTCCCTTATATTTTAAGACCCACTGGATGTAACATCAGTGGGAAACAGATTTCTTTGGTCCCTGGGGGAAAGCCCGGGGTTCCTTCCATTTCCAGCCTGTAGAATCAGATTTTTGTCTATTCCTGTCTACTGAAGAATGTATTACCCCTAAAACAGTTTAAGGGTAGACGAGCATTGTGAGTTATCAATTGTGTGTTTCTCCAGTTAATGATGTGCAGAATACAGTGGACATGTATAGTTGTTTCATAGGAAATTTTACCTTGCAGGTCACTTTGGAACTTCTTGGGTGAAGCACTACTGTACATACCAGAGGGATTCCAAACAAATCACCATGGTACCATTTGACCAAAAGTCAGGAGGAAAGGGGGTGAGTTCAGTTTTTAAATTTCATGCCTGGTTTGCTTTGCTAACATGTAATGATTATAATGCATGTATAAGTAACACCTCCACTGTTACATTATAATTTTTCTAATTTTTATACAGTGGCTCCAAGAGGACTAATACCCTGAAGAATAACTAAAACAAGACAGTTACTTTTAGCTGTAATTTATATTATGAATTGTAATCAAGAAAGACCCTGTATTTCACATATATATGATATCAAGTATGATGGATGTTCTTCAGGCCTGAAAGTTCTTGGATGACCTCATTCTGAGAAACTGATTCATGTCATTCTCTCCTGATACCTGGAGAACTGCCAGCAGGCAGTTTAGATGTCCTTGTTGTCTATTGCTGTGTAATAAGTCACCCCCAAACTTAGCAACATTTAAAACAACAACAATCATTGTAGTATTTCCCCCTGTTTCTGTAGGTGAGGAATTTAGGGTGCATTTGGAGGGTGGTTCAAGCTTGGGGTTTCTCCTGAGGTTCCAATCAGATGGTGGCTCCAGCTGGAACAGTGAAGGTCTGAAACAACTCAAGCCTGGCTAGGTATAGCCCTCTCCGGCTTTCCCTCTCTCCTGGTGTCCTCCCTCTTTACCTCTTCCTTTCCTCCCTTCTTCTTTCCCTCTTTGCCTGGTCTCAGGGCCTGTCCGTCCTTTCTCTTTATGTGGACAAGTTTGGGCTTCTTCATAGCATGGTGGGCTCAGGGCACCTAAAGGTTTTAGGCGAGAAAGTACTAACAATGGAAGCAGACACTGGGATTGCCTTTTGATGACCTAATCTCAGAAGTTACATAAACTTACTTTTGCCCTATCTGTGGTTAAGGTCACAAAAGTCCACAGTTTAGTAGGAGAGGATAATCTGCCTTTTGACAGGAGAAGTATTAATCTCATTGTACAAAGGGCACATGGGCCGTCATTGGAAGAGGCAACAGGCTGTAGTGGGCTCCCCCTGTCACTGCCATTGGGCAGCTCCTGGGGTGCTCCAAGTTCCTCCCTCCACACAGCTGTTGCTTCTTCCTCCTGCGTGTCTGTCTGTCTGTCTCCTCTGGGGACTTGCATAGCGGGCCAGACGCCTTCCTATGGATGAGATCTGTTTTTTTCTCTTTGGCTGCTCTTAAAATTTTCTTTTCTTCCTTTGCTAGTCTTCATTTCATTATAATAGCCCGAGGTTTGAATTATTTTTTTAATCTATTGTTTGGGAATAATCGGCCTTCTTAGGTTTGAGGGTTGGCCTCTTTGGTAACTCTGGAAAACACTTGCCACTTTTCA